ACCGCTCTTAACGTTTTGACCCGCAGTGCGAGGATGTCGCCCAGGGAAGACGGTCCAGATGACGGAGGCTGAGGTGCGGGGGCTCTGCATCAAGTCCAGAGAGATTTTCCTCAGTCAGCCCATCCTGCTGGAACTGGAGGCTCCGCTCAAAATCTGTGGTGAGATTTCCTCCCGTCTACACGTCCCTGTACCAGGTTTCACACATACTTTAACCACACGGGTGTGGACATTTCCAGGCGACATCCACGGTCAGTACACAGACCTGCTGAGGTTATTTGAGTACGGAGGTTTCCCTCCAGAAGCCAACTACCTGTTTCTGGGCGATTACGTCGACAGAGGGAAACAGTCGCTGGAGACCATCTGCCTGCTGCTGGCGTACAAGATCAAATACCCGGAAAACTTCTTCCTGCTCAGGGGGAACCACGAGTGCGCCTCCATCAACCGCATCTACGGCTTCTACGATGAATGTAAGTTGAAAAATATCTTGAATATCTTGGTTAACTTCATGGCATTGGCAAATATATACAGATTTCAATTGTTATACTTGTACATTTCTTTACATTTTCTTTTCAGGCAAGCGCAGGTTCAACATAAAACTTTGGAAAACATTCACAGACTGTTTTAACTGCCTGCCAATCGCTGCGATCATCGATGAGAAGATCTTCTGCTGCCATGGAGGTGTGTGCTCTACACACATGCTCTCTCGATCTGAGGTTCACAACACGTTCCTTGCTGAAGTGAATCATCTAAAGTGGTTTATTGGTTTTTCTCAGGGCTCTCACCTGATCTACAGTCCATGGAACAAATCCGACGCATCATGAGACCAACTGATGTCCCAGACACAGGTCTGCTGCTCTCTGTGTGGTAAACTATTCTGGTCCTGAGCTGGAAAAAAATGTGGTCTCACATAGTTGATTTTCAGCATTTTGGAGATCAATATTTAAAGTCAAAAGATTTTAGATTCCTTTTGTGGTTCAGTGGGGTAAATAGGTGCATCAAAAAGTTCTAGGATGAATTGAACTTTCTCTATCAATGTAACCACTCTACATAAATTTACACTTGAATCTGAACATTTCTGCAGCAGTGTTTCAATCCTTCTGTGAATGTCACACGTCAGAACTAAAAAGTATAAATCATTCACTCGACGACATCTGTATGTTAATGTTTCTTTTACTTTTCAGGTTTGCTGTGTGACCTGCTGTGGTCAGACCCAGACAAAGACGTCCAGGGCTGGGGAGAGAACGACAGAGGAGTTTCCTTCACCTTTGGGCCGGACGTGGTCAGCAAGTTTCTCAACAGGCACGACCTGGATCTCATCTGCCGAGCACATCAGGTAACGACCGCCTTGTCCTTCACTCTTCTGTTTGGTGATAGGACAACACATTTGTTTGAGTTCTGCTCTTGAATCCACCTACAGGTTGTGGAAGATGGATA